TTCGGGTGCTTCTTTGAAGGAGAGTTCACAGCTCCGTTGGCACGTTTGAAGCCACGCTTGATCTCATAGACCGAGCTAACACTGATCCCCGTTGCGGCGGCAGTGAGCTTTACGACTTCCACCTGCCGCCGCATCCAAGAATAAACGTTCAAAACACACTGCCTTGTGTGGCTCGACAGGACATTTCCACTTGCGTGACGTTTGTAGTACACCCGAGGGGAAACGTCTTTAAAGGGACACTGACAGGGTATTTATGCTCGCCGAGGTTTTTAGTTGTACGTGACATATGAGAGCTCAACTACCCAGAACAGAATTTGCGGCTCGAAATTCGGTTTCTTTCCGCCCGAAAACCGCCGATCAAGAACTGGCCGGTTCGAGTCTCGCTCACTCTCTTTTCCGCGATCACGGGCCGTTTTCTAAGGTATCGATGCGACCACCAAATTTAATCAAAGTCGTGGGTCACTGAAGGCAAACACTCAGTATTAAAAATAGAAAAAAATATGAAACCCATTTTTTGTGGCTTCTAAAAAGCTGCAAATACGTTGATTGAAAAAAAAAGTTCCACAGACAACCGGAAGCATTCTGTGCGTGCGTCGTTTCGCGTATCGTGGGACTCGCAGGGACGGCGATGGCAGCGGACGACGGGCGTGGGACCTCTATTTCAGAACTGTCGTTCGCGGTACCGGCGAATTTTGTCTGCTTTTAAAAGAGAAATTTGGGACTAATCAAAAGAATTGGTATTCATCTTGTACGACACGCCCGACCACCAAGCCGATTTGCACGAAGACGTCGCCGAGCCGTCGCTCCCTTCTCGTGGCTGAAGACATCGCTCGCGCAAACGTCAAGCACGACGTGTCTACTTCGAGTTGAATATGCACGCGTACGATTTCTTTACTAGGTGAGAATGTCGCCAATGCGTGGTGCATCCCGACTTCGACCCGGGAGTGCTTTTGCTAGAGGAAAATCGGCAGCAAACTTTCCAAGTTACAGTTTATTGGCTGAATTATCACCAAGGAGAGAGACCCCAGTTTGGTATGCCCCAGTAGCTCAGTAGGAAAGACGTCCGCTTCGCACGCGGTAGGACCGGGTTCGATCCCTCGTGAAACTTTTGTTTTTGTTTTTTTCAAATATTTTTTTTTTATGTTTACATTTCTTTTTTTTTTACAATTATCATTGAAGAAACAAAAAAAAGAAATAAGAAACAAATGTTGTGGACGACACGTCGCTGAATTAAATGGTATGGGATTTCCTTTTTGACACCTGCGAACTCAATGTAATCACTTTCCACAAAATGCAAGGAGCATATAAATCAGCGTCCGCTTTCCGAGGTGCCCGTAAATGGTCTACAGGAATTGCAGCCAGCCATTGGTCCCGATCCCGTTGATCTTTCGGAAACTCTGTCGCACAATGCCACTTCTGTTTCGGACGCAGGACATGTGAGCCAGCTCTTCACGCAACATCTTGGGTGTATTCTTTTCGGAGCCGATCAAAATTCACCACGGGCACTCACTACTCATCTCCAACTCCTCAATGTACACAACAACTCATCTTGGAGTACAGAACGTCGAGCGGAACATACATAACTGCAAAAGAATCCCACGGCGAACAGTTCCCGTACGCCGCATGTCGTCTGCTACCGGGAAGGAGAAAAAAAAAAAGCACACGGTCGGGTGTAGCCACGTGACTTCCGCCGCTCACTCTCTTCTCTCCACTTCTCCGACCTCCGTCGGGTTTCGGTTTCGGTTTCGAGCAGTTGTGTCTTTTGGCTTTATTAAAAAAATACGCTACTCTGTTGCAAAATATTAATTGGGTAGTCCTCCGACACCATAATGAAGCGCCTGGCAAAAAATTAAAACAAAATTTGGGGGGGTGTCAGTGTCCCTTTAAGAAAGAGTGCTGACAACACGGTCCGATCAGTCAGAGTTGTTGGAGTCGCCATTTTGGAAGGCGAGCGACAACGGCTGGCCGGCTGGCTACGAACATCGATCCTCAGATCTTGTGAGGCGCTGAATTACGTGAATACACGCGTACTAAGGAGGTATATTATTTATCCTACTGAGAATAACAAATTTATCTAAGCTTCAATAACGCTCGCGTCCCAGAGAGCAAACTTTTATTGCAACTACTTTGCAGAACGGAATAATATGTGCGACGGCATGCGACCAATAAGCATGCGACGAGAGGGACACACCCACTTTTTTCTTAAGGTGAAAACAGGTATAGAATGGGGAGGTTTGCTGTCCGGCGGCCGTGAGAGTACTACGATGTGCAAGCACGCCGGTGAGGGCACTGTCGGGCAGATCGCGGTAGAGTTCCTGTATATAGCTACCTACGGTAGCAGAGTTGCGCATTCAGCCTCGGCGACTAGCCGTAGCGGCGGCTTTCCCGCACGCCCTGGATGCTTTGCTCCGCACGTGACTACATTTTGCGAATAGCGGCGCCGCGCGTGCCGCCGCGCGTGGAAAAGAGGAGAGGAGGAAAAGGAGGCGGAAAGCACGAGAACATACGCCGGGGCGCGAGAAACGTCGGCGCAGCGAGCGTAAAGGTGGCTTTCTTGCACGGCGCGGATGCTTTGCTCCTCACGTGATTGATCTCAGCGAATGGCGGCGTGGCGGCGCAGGGAAAACAAATGCGCAACTCTGGCTCCCGTAGGGAGCCTATACAGGAACTCTAGCCTCGACGACTTCGGCAGCCACTATATGAGTGTTTCTAACTCTCTTTACAAAATCTGGACTGCCAGAAAGGCTTGTGACAGGCTATGGCCCGCTGTTTCGATCAAGTGAATTCCTGGATTTCATGACAAAAAAACGGAGTGCAGCAGTCATTGTCACCCCCAAACCATCCAGCAACGAACGGTGCGGCAGAAAGACTTAGTGGAAAAATCTTTCAGCCTTTCCTCTCTGGTGAAGAAGGAAGACCAGCGAAGCTGTTATCTTTATGATGACTAGGATGATGCCTAGAGGACGATGTCTAGGATGACCTAAAGGACGAATTCTTGGACGACCTCAAGGACGACGCCTAGAGGACGGCCTCAAAGACGACGTCTAGGATGACCTCAAGGACGACTTCTAGGACAACCTCGAGGACGACCCCTAGAGGACAACGCCTAGGACGACCTCAGGGACGACATCAAGGATGACCTCAAGGAAGGCTTGTAGGACGACGCCTAGAGAAATTCAGCCTTTCCACTCTGGTGAAAACCGAAGTGGAAAGGATGGAAACGTTGCCGCCGTTGCTCATAGATGGCGGCAGCTGTCCAGAGTTTTGTGTTGACATTTGTTTGCCCGCGGAAACGATACTGGAACCTAGGCCTTAACAGCTCCGCTGTAAAAATTTAACAAGTCTGTCAACGCAAACCTGAAGTCACGGCTGATCATGGAAAAGGCATGCCATAACTTCTTGGTGGCATATCGGATGACCCCGCACACGACAACAGCTCAACAACTGCCAAAATGATGACAGGACAACAGTTACGCACAAGGTTTGACCTTCTTGAACCATCAATAGGCTCTGGACAGGGTTCCAGAAAGTGCTACCATCAGTTGATCATCAGCGCCACCGTGGCCAATTGAGGCAATTCTGGGACGGGTAAAATCGGCAGCGCCGCCAGCGTACCCTTGCAAGATTACGTTATTACCAACTCCGAGCGTTGTGTTGTTGCGCGCTGCACTACCGACTGTTTTAAAAATCTATCAAGCGTGTTAGCAGGTGCCTTCCTCGATAGGTAGTAGAGACAACCCAAAACGGGAGGTAGCAGAACAAAATTGAACGTCCTGATATTCCCGCCAAATACAAGTAAAAGCAAATAGACAAAAGCAATTTTTTTTTTCTTTTTTTAAAGTTGTTTGTGCGTGCCTCAAAATAACAAAAGCGAAGACTTCATCGAGCTTCCTCATCTACAAACAATGACCGCATCTCCACGTGGTGAATGATGTTGATTAGGGTGAAGCTCTGGTGGTGCTGATGATACAGATTTTATTGTTCATAGGTGATGCTGATGGTGCCGATTTTTTTTTATTGCTCATAGGTAGTGATGAGTTCCGGGTTGTGTTTCGACTTCATTATTACTGCTTTATGGTCGGTGAAATGCAGAGCCAGTGGTTCTTCTAGCAGATTAGCTTGGATCCGCTAGAAGCCGTGGGAATGCATCTCCACCGCTTAAGTCAACGGTACATGTCAGAAAGAGAATGTGTGGTATGGAACGTGGTTATATATGCATTTGAGCATTTGACCGCAGTGCCCTCTTGTCTATAAACGTTGAGCCAATGCACGCAAAGTTTAACGCGATTATATACGCATTTGACCGTAGCGCCCTCTCCTGTATAGACGTTGAGCGGCTACATGCAATGTTTCATCCATGACAGAAACCCCAGCTCTTATCTAAGAGCCCCCTACTTGTCCTGCAGTCGTGGCTGAGTGGTTAAGGCGATGGGACTAGAAATCCATTGGGGTCTCCCCGCACAGGTTTGAATCCTGTCGACTGCGCAAACATTTTTTCTTTTTATGTGAGGACGGACGCCGGACGGACGGACAAGGCTAGACCCTAAGGAGCTTCGCCCCTAAAAGTGGAACTATAAGTGCCCGCCCGCCCGCACCTCCACCTCTACCACGCGATGTGTACCTTGGGGAATCGTATATTTCCTTATTTGATGGGAATGTTTTTTCCTACTTGCCACAGTGTGCCTTTTTTCCCAAGGACATATGACCGAACTGCCCTAAGGCCCTGAGGATCAGGGAGACCCAGAGATAGAGAATCCTTTGGAGACATTTTTTCCTACTTCCCACTTGGGGCCTTTTTTTCCGAGGACATTTTGTCCGGGGACTTTTTTTCCGATGCTATTTTTTCCGGGGCCATTTTTTCCGGGGTCATTTTTTCCTACACTCGTGCATGGAGCCCATGCGGTTACTCCATGCGACGTAATGCAAAACTTCAAACTTCAGCGCTGGGTGAAATGTCATAGTAGTGCTCAAAAAGTGCAAACTTTGTGCACCCTACTTACTCGGAGGGGGGTTGATCTTGGACACCAGGTAGACAAAAGGCTCGATGAGAGATTTGCGGTCGAAAGCAGAAACTTCTACCAGGCGCACTGAAGCAAAGAAAGAGGGCTTGCATGGGTTTTGAGACACAAAAGTAGAAAAAAAAAAGCTATGTCAGGATAAAATAGAGACAGCACACCTGTCCCAGAACACTTGGAGGAATCAGGCACGTAGCCAGGGGGGGGGGGAAGGGGGGGGGGGGCATGGCCCCCCCCCCCCCCCCTCGAAATCTTCCATTTTGCTGGGACCCTCCTCTCCTCCCTTCCCCTCATACAGCATTTTGTCATGGGCAGGCAGCCCCCCCCCCCCCCCCCCCCCCCCCCCCCCCAAAAACAAAATCCTGGCTACGTGCCTGGGAGGTATTGTTAAAGGGTAATTCCACTCAAAAGTTTAACCAAAACAAATGCCTAATATAATTTTAGTGGAACAAAGTATAGCCATAGTAAAAAAAAAAAAAAAAATAAACACTTAAGACTGCGAACGTGTCAGAATGCGAAACCATTCGTATATGTAGCGTAGTGTATTCCTCCAAGCTGCGTGCCGCGCGGAGCCCAGTCGGGCAGCCTGTGCGGATGCTGCCCGGGCGGGCTCTGTGGCCGGCCGCTCTGCAGAGCCCGGCCACCCTCTCCTTCCTATCGGCAGCCGGGCTGCTGCACCATAGCAGTCGGGTGGCATTCCTTGGAACTATGCCGCACGCCAGCCAATGGGAGTCAATCCATCAATTCGCTGCTACAGACTACAGGCTTCGCTCCATCGGACAGGGGAATTTAGAAGCTGTTTGGCGCGGCTTCAAAAGCTGATAGCGCCAGTTCACTCCATGGGACCCAGTTCATGCTTTCGCATTAAAAGAAGTGCCATCTGTTGCACCCCAAGCACAAGCCTTATTGGCTTGTGTGAACTTTAGAATGCGTTATATCCAAAGGCAAAATAAATATTGTGTCGTATCAAAGGGATGCCACAATAACTACTAAAACCAATATCAAAAATACTACCACCAGTTCAGGAGCTGGTGGTAGCATTTTCAGCAACCGCAGCGGGTTAGCTCTTGCTGAAGGAACACTGGAAATGATGTCACTTTTGTGCAGACATTTCTTTTCCTGTGATTTTTCGCTGCTGACTTGGCCGTCAAGTAGTGCTGCCTGCTGCGTTTTCTGCTATGTTGTCGCAGTTGACTCAGCATAACTTTTTTATATAAATTTGTATGTTATCCTTTTAAATCACGCAAAAAAGTATGAAGTTTTTAGACTTGTTGCTCCCGACACAAATTGTGAAAGATTGGCTTTGTTTTGCAATATCAAGCATGACTTGTGCTGTGGGTTGAACAAACGATGTGTGTTGCAACTCGGATATGCATTTTCGTGAGATTACAAAACACGTGAAGTTGAAAATGTGGGTCGATGATGTTTGCTGTACAAACTTCGGAATAAAGTGGACTCCAAGCACCAAATAGAAGCCTTGCTCTTATAACCTTAGGCCAGCAAGCTACAAACCAAATTTAGGGTTGCTGGCTTCTGCTGGTCTCTCCACAAAGGATGCGATTGAAAAATTATGCTGTGTAATTGCTGCTTGTGCGCAGTCTGCCTGCTGGAACAGGGGGTGGACAGTACATGCTGCACGCCACACACTATGCAGCAGCGGCCATCACATGTTCTCCGATGAAGACATCAAACTTATCAGAAAACAAGGCCCGTGCATAAGACACGACCAATCCAGAACACCCTCGAGCAAGTGGTTGTATGGCGAGTGAATCTCATGCGATATAACCAGTTGCCACACTGCCACTCGATCGCAGGATGCAGCAGACTTCCTAATCCACTTGCAGATAGCATCTGGATTCCAATTTTCTTGTTTAGGAGCAAAAACAAAAAAAGAGTATGACGATGCAGCCACAACCACACACTGCACCAACAATTAATGTTTCTTTTTTTTTTTTTTTAATCCACCATGGTTGAACTTGCGTTTCTGCCGTAAACTTTGTTAATGCACAGTCACTTTTGTTTTAAGTATTGTATACCTACAGAGCAAAGCAGTAAATTAGGAGCAACTTGCCTTCGTTCTTTAGAATGCTTGTGCGACTGAGCACGCCGAATGTGGCGCAGTACAAACACCATGTTACATAGCTGCCCCTGTCTCCATGGCAGCCCAGTGTAGCCGTCACACTCAAGCTGGCTGTTTGTTTCACCGTAAGATTCTGAACAAAAACTTAAAAATCAAATATGTCCTAACTTCCTAATCCACTTACAGATAGAATCTGGATTCCAATTTTCTTGTCCAGGAGCAGAAAAAAAATAGAAAAAGAAAACTACCAAAAAAGTATTACACCCCATAATTCAGGGATACTAACTCCATTTATAACAACCCCCCCCCCCCCCCCAAAAAAAAAAAAAAAAAAAAAAAAAAGAGCAGAGTTCTTAAATTTTTGAGTTGTGCGAATATTCGAAATTTCGAATAGTAGTTCCGAATAATACACTATTCGGTATTCGCTTCGAGAAGAACTGCACTATTTGCGTTTTTCGAAGTGTTGATTGCGGCGGGTTAGCCCCGTTGAGTGCGCTTCTCTCCAAGCACCGGTGCGCTGCGGAGAAGCAATACCCGCGGAAGCGAGCTCCACGGGTGTTGCTTCTCCGCAGCGCACCGGTGCTTGGTAAGAAGCGCACTCAATGGGGTAACCCGCCGCGATAAACACTTGGAAAAGTATGAATACTGTAATTGCGTGCTTAGAAGTAAAGCATACATTCTAAGCGAGATGGAGCACCTGTGCCGACTGTATTCGAAAATAAATGAAAAGTATGTGAATGTGTGTATCTACTATGTAATAAAAGTAGCTGTTGTCGGCACAAACACAACAGTTTCAAAATTAAACTGTTATGCAAGAGTATTACACTATGTTAGGCAGAGATGCCCTTACAGCCTGCGTTCATCATGCACGATTTATTCTTTTTTAACTCGAGATTAAAGGAAGAATATTTTATATAGCAAGATTTGTAAATTCACTCCTTTGGGTATAGTTGGCCATCTCTACAGGGTTCATCTTATGTCAAATCTGTCGTTTACTTGCCATCCCAAGACACCAGACCTTCTGGTGTCTTGGGATGGCATAAATATAGATAGACTAAACTTAGTTTATAAATAAACAAGTGAAACAACCTTCACAAGTTTTGCTGGGTTTTCGTCCAAGTATTATGCAATGGTAGTGAAAGGCGTAGAAAAACTATTCGATATTCGAATCGAAAATATTCGGGCAAAACTACTATTCGCTTCGAACTCAAAATGCACTATTCGCACAAGACTATAAATTTTACTAGTACAACATTGGTCCACACTGGCCCACACCATGATGCCCCTTATGGTATTGGTCACTTGCTTTCTGAGGCTCCGTGACTCTTAGAGCCAAAATAAATATTGAGTACTATAACAGTTCCTAATACAAGAAACAAAACAGTAATGGTACATGAAAGCTACATTTTGCTCATATTTATTGACAAGACATTCCTGCAATTTCTTACAAAATGCTCAACAACCAACATTCATGGTTGGTAGACAACTGGCAACAGAATGGGACAAAATCCCAGTAACTGCTAAGTGCATAATTAAAAGGAACTTAGCATTACTCGGGTGGGTTGTATTCTGCCCGAAGTACAACTTCCGCAAAGGCTATATATAGTCTGTTACAGGTTAAGAAACCAACACAAACTACCCCCGCAAAGCCGTCTACTCTTTCCTCTTGAGCAGAGCGAATGCTGGAAAGGAGGCTAGTCTGTCCTCCCCTCCTCTTCAGTGCTCGTTCTGCTCAAATGGAAAGAGTGAAGGGCTTTGCGGGAGGGCACGTGTCCTGGTTTCTTTACCTGCAACAGACTGGAGAGAGGGTAAGCAAAAGTACAGCCCACTTTGACATTCAATTTGTTCCTGAAAGAGGAATCCTCCCCTGCTGGTTGAGTTGGATCACTGCAGCCCCATTATAGATTACCTGCTTTGCTACAGGTTTAGGTTCATGCTCTAAGATAAATAGAGAAGTTTGCCATTACCTTGTGCCCAAGTTAGGGGGTTCAAACCCTGGTCAAGACGCCCACAATTTCATGAAGCTTATTGCGGGAAAAGAGTGCAACTGAGATTTCATTTGCATGCCAAAAGGTGGTCTGAATTATTCCTCAGTCCTCCACTGGGAGATGTCAAAAGCTCTTAGCTGATTTAGCATGAACACACCCAAACAATTACATTTTTGCAATTTCATTGGTGCAAATGACTGGCATGCGCAATAATTTTTGTTGTGACTGCTTTTGATTTGTGAATTTTGCAAAGATTCAGGGAACACTGCAATCAGTGTTGGCTAGGAGTGCTGTCGAACCTAGTTACTAAACTATGAATTGTGCTGCATCCTTCCTGGCAAAGATTCAGGGAACACTGCAATCGGTGTTGGCTAAGAGTGCTGTCGAACGTAGTTACTAAACTATGAATTGTGCTGCATCATTCCTGGTATTTATTGGAAACAATATGCTTTAATGGAGCACTTCCATTGTTCCTACCCGTGATGTCACGACCACGATTTTCAGCTCCGTACGACGAGTTCAATGGTGTTTGTAAAAAAGCAATGCCATCAAAGTTGACAATCTGACATTACTCTTATTTCTGTCTATGAAAGCAGAATTAATCCTACTAAAAATGTAATAGTGAGCGTTTGGCCAGTCATGGAAGGACAACCACAGCACTGCTTATGGTCAAGCTCGTCGCCAATACACCGAAAAGGGCACCCGATTGATATGGCCTGACCTTGTACTGGGAAGGCTATGAACGATGGAGAAAAGTTTGATTAAAACCTTTTTAGCCGGGTTCGACCACACTATAGTTTTGGCGCCACATTTCTTGTCATTAAGCTACACAAAAGCCAGTCTCACGAAAAATAACCATACACTGCTTAGTATTCAATAAACAGCAAGCCCACCATCATACAAATGCATGGTACAGTGGCAAACCCGCATGACATTGTGCAAACTGCAATGATTGGAAAACAGGAAACAACTAAAATAAACTTATAAACAAAAACTTTACAAAATGATGAAAACGAAACTGCAACTTTGTGAGCCTTCACTCTCTGCTCAACTGGACTTCTGCTTCCCTTTCTCTTCCCCAGAACATTGCATGCTCCAAGTAACTAAGAGGTCAGTCGCAATCATGGCTGCAATGGGCAACTGGGGCAGCTGGCCAAGTTGCCCATGCCTAATGCCAGCAAACTGCACCTGAATGCAGTATGCACCTACCCTAATAGGAGAGCTTTCTGATTACTTCTCATGCTTGCCTCACTGCTCAAACACTTGTTCAAATAGGAGGACTCAGACTCTGCACCCAATTGGAAAGTTAGATAGAGCCAGTTAATAACCATAAAGTATGTGGTTTCTATGTACAACAGACCCACCCTAGTTGCCCTGAAAGAGCAACAGGTGAAACTGCATGGGATCAAGGTATTTACTTTGGAAAACGGAAGGCGGGATTCTGAAAAGTCTGAGGCAACAAAGGGGAGACTAGAGGATTGGTAAAGACGGAGGAAGTCAGAGAAATACTTGAACGAATCTACACAAGTAACAAGCCCAGATGGGAGGCTAGTGGGACAGTGAAAAATGGGTACCCCCTCCCACCCGATTCCAACTTGAAGTCTAAATGCTTCTTCCTAGTGGATCTGGTCTTTGGAACTCCCTCGCCTGGAAAGAATTTAGGCCAGTAAGATTGTATTTTTGCGTTGTTTTTTTTTTTGAGCCCAAAGCAGAAAGGTTATTTTACAGTTTACATTTCTTTCCTGGTGAAAATTACGGGCTTGTAAAGGTTTCAAAATTCACAGGCTAGGTGTCGCAAGCTAGACTCTCTTAAAAACACTAACACCCCCCCCCCCCCTTTTTTTTTTTGCCAGGCGATTGATTTTGGTGTTAGAAGACTACCCAACTAATATTTTTCTGGAGTGTCACATATATTTTTAATCAAGTACAAAAAACGCAACTGCTCGAGACCGAAACTGGACTGGGGAAAAAGAAGAAATATAGAGGAGGAAAAAGTTGCCAAAAGTCAAGTGGCTGTGCAACATTTTTTTTTTTTTTTTTTAATTTTTTCAATTAACGTTTTTGCAGCTTTTTAGAAGTCACAAAAATGTGTATCATATTTTTATTATATTTTTAATATTGAGTGTGTGCCTTCGATGACCCACGAGTGGTTATATTTGGGGGTTGTGTCTAAACCGTAGAGAATGGCATGTGACCAAAGAGAAACCGGCCAGTTCTTGATAGGCGGTTCTTGGGCGGAAAGAAAACAAATTTCGAGCCGCAAATTGTGTTCAGGGTAGTTTGACTTTCATATGTCATGTACAAATAAAATCCTTGGCGAGCATAAATACCCTGTCAGTAGAAAGTTTTAGTAGATTGTTTTGGCACCCCTGCTGCGCTATACGCGTGAGCGATGATGCTACTGCGCATGCGCGATGCTAGCAGAGAATTAGCGGAGCTGCGGAAGCTAGCGGAGGCGCCCGATTTTACGAGAGTTGCGAGAAACGTAGCGCACTTAGGGGGGTGACCTAGCGTGGATCTCGCGAGAACGAGTCTTGGCGAGACTACGGAGAGCCAGCGAAGGATGCAATTCAAGATGGCTGCCACGCCGCGCCTGTCCTCTTCGCAATCACGGTTCTGAGGGGCGGATTATGTCTTGCTGCTGGGAGAAGTAGCCGTGACAAAGCCGATCCAGGACTGTAACAGGTAGCGATTTACGGTGGACATGCTAAATACATCCACGGGGGGAAAAACAAGCTTTGCAATTCGTGGTGCTGTGAGCGAAGGATGCGGCCTCCTGCTCAGGTGCTTTTGTCGTGAGGACAGAACCGACCAAGGGGGCGAGTGAGCAGGCGGATCTGAGAGACTTCCGTGGCGTTTCATTTTTGGTGAACAGTGAGAAAGACGAAAGAAAGACCGATCGCAACGACACAACATAAAAGCTACACTCGTCATTTATTTCTGAAATTTTCTCTCAATGGCGTTCGCACTTGACTCATATCGGATTGGCTTGGATAGCTTCGCCGTACGTTGTATTCAATTACAAACACAATAATCATTTACTTAAAAAAGAAGCAAAAATTAGCACTTTATTTGATAAAGAAAGAATAGTCTATTAAGATATCGAAGTTAATAAACAAAATGCAAAGGATTGCCTTACAAACATTTATTTTACGCAAGCCTTAGTGTCTGAAAGAGCCGCTCGTTGCGTTGCGTTAGTTATTGTAACACTGTAATGAGTAGCAGTTTGCGAACGTCCTACTAAAACTTGAAATGGCGGTTCTGCTACGCTACATATAGTGAAGGATGTAGCGGATTGCGGATAGCGTGGCGGGAGCGACTAAACGATCTACTAAAACGCTCTAGGTGCCCCTTTACTTTAAAGAACACTACCATGCAACTTCTGGTTACGCCGAAGAACGTTTACTCCGAGCCTAAAAAGCTCAGAACCCACCCTAAAAAGATTACATAGCTTGTTCTGGAAGCAATCAATGTGATTCATGACAAAAGAAGTTTACTGATAGTGATCTCATTTTACATACCACTGAAAAGTGGAAACCTAACTTCCAAGTTCTATAAAACAAAAACAGTCTCTTAACGTTAACCCAACTTTGGAGGCTTTCCTTTTTCGAAAGTGCACAGTGTTGCTCTAACCCACTTCTATAATCTGTAGATAACAAACGGCTGTACAATACTTATATATAAAAAAGGCAAATTTAAAGATACGAAGAATGCCACTGAGACAAGTATTCGGAGTAAGGATGCCTGTTACCTCTTTCCTTAGTGGCCCAACTGATGGCTGACTTTATGTCCACTTGCCTCTCCGAGTTCAGATCTGCTTTGTTCCCGATGACCAAAAATGCTAGCTGGGGATGCAAGCAAGAGTACATTTTTGTGAGACCATTTTCCCCCCATTTTCCGTTTAAAGGCAGCTCATGTGCACTACTAAAAAATAGCACAAGGACGATTGAAGGAAGAACGAGAAGACAGGAAAGAGCACTGACAACTGGCGTTTTATTTACAAGACAAAAAAAGGCGAAAAAAAGTGAGGTATTTCAAAGACAAAAAAAAAAAGAAGGAAGAAGAAAGATAAAAAAAGGCATCGGATAGAAAAAAGAAGGATGCTTTTTGTTATATACAAAATGTATTTTTTAGTGATGTTTACCCCACTAGCCCACCATATGATTTTAATGCATGTGCATTACCTCTTTTTTCTCCTTGTGCTTGTCTATGTCTTTCTTGAGCTGCTCCAAAAGCAGGAACGATTCCTTCTGGTTGATGGCATACAGCAAAACAACACCCTAGAAAAGAATCGTTACATTGAAGCACGGGTTCTCAGACTGCGTTCCTCAGGGGGGCCTCCATTGGTTCCCCCGAGCCTTCGAATTTCCTTCACTGTCCTTTCACCTAAGTAAGGTGTTCTTACAGTTTAATCACTCTTTTGGCATATCTGAGTCACCCATTGAAGCAGAGCTATGAGCCAACCACTCCCTAGTATGTGCACTGTTGTTTACAATTTTTGTAGGCTAATGCATTGCTTTATTGAGTCGATGCCGAGATCAGGAGGGGTTTTTCGGCTATCAGTCCAGAGAGACAGGCGTTCCTCGGGATTGAAAAGTTTGAGAATCCCTGCATTGGAGAATAGAGTTTGTACCGGATTGACCAATCTTCCAAATATTATTTTGAAAGGCCACACACAATGCCCCCGCCTCCCCCGTGCCTTCCAATCCCTATTCCTTTCTCGCACAACCCCAAGGTCGAGTCGCTTTTCACTGTATATTTCAGCAGGCACGAGCTCCCAGTTTCTCCACCCCCTATATTGGCTGTGGGATTGCTTCTCTCATCCTCATCTGGTGTAGCGAATAAAAATCTACTACCTATTGTCAAAGAAGCAATAGTTCTGGATCGTACGAAGCTCAACAAAGTTAGCACAAATAAGAGATCGTCAGTTTAGTCACAATTTCTCTTAGAACTGAAACGCTATCATTAAAACTGCTAGTGTGGTGGAACCCCCCCCCCCCCCACCCATGCTCACTCAGTGCACAAACTTAAGTAGTGTTTGTCAATATCCCGATTGAGCCAAATGCAAAAAAGGTGTTATGCCGGCATTAATTATGTCGTGCAGTGTACCATTTCCACACTACGTGTCGTGCAGTGTACCATACTACGTTTCCTTGCGAATCAAAAGTAATTTGTGAACCGATAGCCAGAAGAGATTTTATTAACTGCCATGAGATGGTGCCCCCCTATAAGAGTTTCATGGGGCTGATTTTCACCAGATGTTCCAGCATGCGTTTAGAATGTGTGGCATAAACAGACGTGAACCTCACAAAACGTTCAAGCCCAGGTAAGAATTTAGCACACATTTACATGCCCAATCTTAGCAAGCATGTGTTCTCAACTCATGACCATAACCTGGGGCCAAATACCACAAGATTCCAGTGAATGGAAGCAGGTGAGTACCTATATGATTAATGTGTCCACCATTCAGATGTCAATTTAAATCACCACAATCACTGAAATCACTGGAAGAAAGAAAAAGATCATTAACCGTGACTTAAAACTAAGGGAGTCCAATCGGATCACAAAATAAAATTTTCTGAAGCTTGCATAACTGAGTATGGGCCAAGCTTGATGAGGCTGAACCAAAATTATTTGTTGATTCCAGCATCTTAACACCTTGTTCGATGTTAATGACAAGAAGTGAGATAACCCATGACTCAATAAGCCTTCCCCTCTCACAAAAAGTCTGAATATTTGCTTCAGGCAAAGCGAGGAGTGTAAAGATTACTGTTCTATGTTTGTGTTGAGAATTGTCTGGCTTTGGAAGAGCACCTTCATCGTAAAAATGCGACTGATGGCACTGAAGATTCCTCTGATCTAGAACACTAAAGGAAAAAGAAACACTCTAAGACTCTGAGTAATAAAAATGTTATTCAGTATACTCAATGTAATAAACATGTTGTGAAGGAAGAGAAAATGGTGCAACTATCTTCAAGCTGAGGTTGAAAGGTTCTGTTGCATGAGAACTCACATATTCACCGCCCCGCGACATTGGGCAAAGTGCACACACCCGGCCAACATCATTCCACCTGTGGGCTTCGTCTTTTTCAATGGCCGGGGACGCTGCTACACCAATTCAACCCATCCCCCCACCCCCCCCTAGAGTTGGTAAAAAGAAAGTGGGAAGGGAGATGTTTTGGTGACTAAGTGCAAAAAGGATTGAGAAAGCTAGGCAATACCTATTTTTCTGCATATGTCTAGTGCTGGTGAACAGGAGGCACACTGAACTGAAGACTCATTATTTTCATGTCCTAAGCACTTACGAAATGAGATTTTACTGCCGTGCAAAATAAATCGTTGTTCATTATTTGCATGCGTGTGATGAAGAGCAGCAATATTTTTCGCATTCTTGCACGACCGAAAGAGAGCCGTACAAACTACTGTAACAAGTTCGTAAATCCAAGTAAGCATGTTTCTTTTTTGCTGGACAGGGGGTTCTCTTGTCAGTTTCAAGGGCTCGTGCATCCTCTAGTGTGATGCGTGCATGCAACATGGATTGACAGTTACATTGCTGCACAACACATATAGCACATGGCTCAAGCCAAAGAAAGCAAGCTGAAGTGAGTGTGAAGAAATTGGAATGTTTTAGAAATATTTGTGTGAGGCATCCCAGCGAATTGTTACTCACTCACCATTCTCCCTGAAACCATTAATGAGCAGCGACACCTGAAGTATATTTGTGTGTGTGTGTGTGAGTGTGTTTGTGTGTGTGTGTGTGTGTGCGTGCGCATGTGTGCGTGTGTGTGTGTGGGGGGGCTGGAGCCAAGATCCTTTTTGTCATTTCATTCAGTGTTGATGTACTATTTTAGAGCGCAGCTCTTAGGCGCCAGTTTCCGGCTTAAATGGCGTCGCTGTCGCCGTAATTGCGGCGACGTTTCGGCATGGTGACGTTTCGACACCATGCCAAAACATCCTTGCGACCCCCCTCAGGGGGGCACGTGAACCCCCTGAGCAAGGTCCTGAGGGGGGGGTCACGTAACCCCCCTGGGGTCACGTGACCCCCGTGGCGTCACGGGATCATGTGGCCTCACGGGGGCCACGTGAGGTAATGTGGTTCACGTGGTGGAGTAGCAGGCAGGATGACGAGTTGAGGAGGAGGGAGGAGGGGTATACTCTCCCCTCAGTACCCTTCCATCCTCCTCCTCAAGAGCTGCGCTCTAACTGGGCGTTACAGGGAGTTGCGAACGGCTTTCATTTTTTTTTAGATATTACAATCTGAGTTTGGTTTGAGAAAGAACTCTATCCTCGCTGAGTTTTTTTTTTTTTTTTTTTTTTTTTTTTTTCCTTCACAGGCGGACGACCAGACTCGAGATTCTGCAAGACAGGGCCCTTCTCCATGTCTTCGAGCGAGGGAAGCGAAGGATGGAAAGAAGGGACTAAGAAATGTGGGCATGGGTCTGTGCATGCAATTTGGATGGTAGGGTGGTTCAGGGTCAAGCAAGTGAACATCTATTGTGCGAGCATATCACATGAATGGAGATAAGCCTGCAAAAAGGATGCCCCCTGAATGGACGCGTCACAATCTGTGTGCTGGAGGATTAGCGGAGGAACCTTCCAGGACCAGGGAACGAGAAGAGTTTGCTTCTTGCACTGTGTGGTACGTCTTTGCTTAGTGCTTTTTAATCACTGCATTTTTTAATCAATGTGGCTTCACGTTTTTTCCAAAATAACTGCTGCCCCCTATCGGAAGCCTGGATCGGAATGCATTGGTATGAAATCGCGAAGACCACAAGAAAGGAAGAGTGAAGAAGCTTCTTTGTACGAACTTCAGGGTGAAAGATAAGCTGCAGATAAGCCACAATGTGTACAAAGGATACGGTGGGAGAACTCAATCACTCACAGGTCACTGCATCTAGGAAGCAAGATCTATCTCCCTTTCTCGGGAGGCCGTGACTTATTTCACTCGGACACACACCTCCCGTGTTTTCATACTCAGAACTTTCAAACCAGCATTTGCGTGGAGCTGCGCATGCGCAGAGGATGTTTTCCAAAATCGTCATTATTTTAACAATAAAAAAAAATGAAATGATGCACTCAAAAACCAAGAATTGCTCCAGTCGTATTTAACAATGTTGCCCCCCCCCCCCCCCCCCCCCCCCAAAAAAAAACAACATTCCAAGGGGAACATATAGATGCTCTGCGTCAGCTGTGCATGGCTGTGGCCATAGCCGGCCTTCAGTTTTTGTTTCCTCTTATTTCGATCACTTGGCTCCATCATTACCACAGCAGGACAGATTATGCCAATTTAGACCCGACTGTGTCCTTCTCCCCAGCATTGGCCTTTGTGGAGGCTCGTCAAAGCCCGCTTCAGTGGCTTGGTATGTCGGTGAGACAAGAGAAGGTCGGCAATGGCAGCTGTAACCTGACGCATGTGCAAAGCGTCTATAAAGAAATACCAGTGCACGGCACGTTGGCTAAAAACCTGCACTGATGTCAACGGCATTGTAACTCAAGGACTCAAGGCCACTTATCAATCATGTTGGGGTTGCTCTTTTGTAACGTAACCCCATTTTTTTTTCTTTTTCTAGTTAGAGTTTATGGCTTAGCTGCCAAGGGTTTATGAAGCAGGGGTAGGGGACGGGAGGGTGGAGAGGGGGAAGGAGGAGGAGAAAACAGGTAACGGTGGAATGGGTAGAAGGGAGGAGAGGAGGAAGCGAGAGAAAAGTGGAAAGCGCAACCTGGTTGTCGGCCTTTAACTACGTCGTATGCAGCAATTTCTATTTTCTGTGTGCAAAAATTATTTTCTTATGCAGTTCTCCTAATTGCTAGATGCCCCCAACCTCCAGGGTCCCCTAAGTATTCTTATGGAGGGGGGCTGAGTCCCCCCCATGAGAATACTTGGGAAGACTGTGGTCCTTCCCTTCCCTTCCCTTCCCTTCCCTTCCCTCCCTCCCCCTCCCCCCCCCCCCCCCCCCCCCCCCCCCCCCCCCAGTTCCAGCTTCCCCAGAAGAGCTTTCTTTTGCAAGCTTTCCCAATGTACCGGCCCGGACATGGCAGCAACACTAGTGGACACTGAGGCAGTGATTGTCATATGCACTCACATGTGCACAGATTGAGAAAATGTAGCCCTAATAGGGTGCAAATAAAACAAAGACATCCAAGACCATGAAAACAGACTTGCAGTTGTTTGTTTTTCTGTTGTCGTGGATGTTCACGGACCTTATAGTCCAGACACTGACATTCCGTGAAATTGGGTGTTTGCTAAGCAAATATAATGCCATAGGTTTTTTTTTTTTTTTGTAGAGGTTAGGATGTTTTTTGGATTCATCAAATGTCAGTTGGAGATAAATTTGGTATTGTTTATGAAGAAAAAAAAAAAGAAAAAAGGTTCTATCTGCTCTCTTGATTTTTTTTTTTTTTTATTACAAATATTTTTATTTCAGAGTTCACTGGAATGGCATTTGGGAGAACAGGTATTTGCTAACCTCGCAATTTGTGGTTGGGGGTTTTGGATACAATTTAGGGTGTTTTTCAGAATATTTATTTATTGCTCAAAAAGGTGCCACAGGCGATGTTATGGTGACTGACATTGAATTGGAAGACTAAGATTGCAATACGAGTGGTACCCATTATAAAACCCCAGGTAAGCTATAAAGATAAATCACGATTTTTCCAGGCAAACTGAAACTTCATTAATCTCAAAAACCAATTTTTTTCAAGCACTTTTCAGATGCCCCTTTAATTTAGCATAATGGCACCAAGTAGCGACAGGAGATGCGTAATGTACCCTGCATGAAGTGCTCGACGAAACTATGTATTTTGACCACAATGCAAATATTATTTCGTCAAGGTTCGTGCACTGACCTTTTTATGAGTTCTAAATGAAAGCTAGCTGAGGCTATGATAGTGAACATTACACTCGAGTACTGACTAACTTACGTCTGCTTGGGACAGATGGGCCTTGGAAACCTCTGCACATGAAGAATCCTGGTAAAAAGAAAAAAAAATAATATCACCAAGGCCAGACCAGAACACTTTAAAGACAAAATAGAAAGTAAATAGATGAGACTACTAAGTTAGAACATAGAACTTAGAAAATACATGTAAAATAAATGCCACCAGATAGAGGGGTGGTTACTAGGTGCGCCTTGATACATCACTAAGGTGGTATCCACAACTATATTGACCATGGATATTGGCCTATAATTGGCAAAAGTGGCCTGTAGCTGCCAAACAGCTATGTAATGGTCTAATTCTGCAAATTTTCAAATCATCTCAGGAAATGAACTTTCAGATAATTTTTTTTTCAGGTAGAACAACTAAAGATTTGGAGACCCAGTCAGCATATGCCTCAAAAATGTGTTCGCCAAACAATTAGGCTCCACAGACTTCTTTTCATATAGGTTAAGCAACATGTTAAAATACCACTGGGTGTTACCATGTCAAATCATACAATGATGGTCTGGGTAATATTTTTATATTTATGTAAAGAATATATGTGAAAGCCATGTGTTTGGGAGGAGCATTCAGGTATATGTGAACGCCATAGTTAATTTTATTCCAGATGTAAAATGACGATGCTCGAGGCGTGAAGATTGCCAAGGTTTCACTATGGTACTTTGCACAGCCGTCAATTTCACACTGGAGCATGCACATAGGAATATCTTTTGTATTTATTTTATGATAGGTTTACAATATGTATACATAATATAAAAAATTACAATAAGATTTTTATGCAAAACAAATATGAAACACATCAAATAAACATGTTTTAGAGACACGTCAAAAATTATTTAACAGCAAACTACTTCATATAAACAGCTCAAAGTATATAAAATGAGCATCTTACAATGTATTGTAATATATACAAGAAAATTATGCTTAGCCATTATTGTAGTTTTGTTATTAATGCAGAAACAGTTCATTCCTCTAAATGTGGCAAAACTGCACAACAATATTTAAAAAAAAACTCCACCTTTTATTTCCTTTAAACTCTCCTTAACCATTTATAGTGACTTGAACTAACTTGTGATGGCAAAGCACTGAGAAACATGGGACCTCCTTAACCCTTTGATGCCCAAAATTTTACTTGAAATCCTGCAGACCTAGAAAACCTGACATGGTTCTACAACACACAGAATAAAAGAAATCTGATCTCAGATTTCTTTTAATTCTGTTTTCAAAATGTTTATTTTGAGCAACATTGGACTTTTACAGCATTATTTTGCATGCAATGACTGAAAGAAGTTAAGACCTGGGAGAAGGCACATATGCACTTCTCATTTCGCACAGTAGGGGCACTTATAACTGGATTTCCATTATTTGCATCTGCTTTTCTCCTCGGTGTGTCGAAGCCACTGGTGCGTGCCATCACACCTCACATCCCCGGTCAGCTTTGGTTTTATTTTAAAGGAGAGCGATTTCTTTTAAAGATGCAATTCAATTCTCCACTGCTAAGCGCAGGCATCCTCGCCCTTGCGACCGAGAGCGCTACATTTATTTAGGCGCACATGGCATGGGAGAAATTAAATAACTTTCGAGTTATTTAGAGCGCAGTATTTATCAAGAAATGTAACAAAATACACTTCACCCTGATTGTATCGCGATACAAAGGAACATTCAAAATGTATTTCGATACAGAGATACAGATAATGGTGAAAAAAATCTATCGCGATACAGAAATACAGATACAAAATGTATTCCTGAAATACTATCGCGATACATTTGTATCACAATACTGCCCAACCCTGGTATATACAGTCAAACCCGTTTATAACGAACAGCAGGAAACGCTACGTTCAGTTCGATATAGCAAGTACTTCGATATAGCAAAACAATTTACAACAAACTTCCACAATGCGTTCGTTGTAAGTCGAGAGCTTCTCTTTCTTTATCATCTCTTCACTTCCGCCTTGTAACAACGCGCTGTAAGTTTCTTTCTTTTTTACATGTGTGCAGAATTTTTTTTTTTTTTTTTAGCTTATCTCTTTTTTTTAATCGCTTCCCTTCGTGGGCGAACGCTTTGGGATGAAAAGTTTTTTTTTTCTGTGTGTGCATGCAGTGTATTTTTTAGCTTTCTTCCCCTTTTGAATTGCTTCTTTTTGCTCAATTTCGTTCACAACTTGAGCTTCTGGAATTTTCTTTCTTTCCTACTTCTTTTTTGGGGGAAGGGACAGACCAGAAGACGACTGTTTGCGCGTTTTTGGAAGGCTTCCCGGGGGGAAAAAGTTTCGATATAGCCAATATGGTTGTTCGTTATGAAAAGTACTTTTTACATGCATTTTTATTTAACTTTTTCGCGAGTTCGATATCGACAATAATTGGCTGTACGTGGGTTCGTTCTAAACAGGTTTCACTGTACATATTTTTTAAAAAATATATACAAAATATGACCAGGACCATTATTGTATCAACTGACATAAAAATACCCAACCACAAAATCCTTTTGGTTATAAACTTCTATCTGCATCCCAATGTATGGTGCGCATTGCTACTTAGAAATGGTAAGCTGATTTCTTTCCAGTCGCACAATGTTTAACACCAAGATACCAGTGATTGAAGCGGCATTTAACCTTTTGTGGCAGGCTCTATAGCAGGCAACATATTAGTTTGGGGCAGCCATTGATGCTTTTGGAGCAGATGCCAACATCTGTTAACACATCACTTGAGAATAAAAAAGTGATTGCATCTCAACGAGTTCATTTATGATAGTGATCAAGGGTTCCTCTTCTATACTCGAGCATGTTACTTATTACCGTCTGTGATAACAATAAATAGGGCATAAAAGGAACACAGTATTCTTAAATAAGACACTAGTCAAAGAAAGTTTCATTTACAATGGGTATTAAAAAATGGTTGAAAAGTGAATCGCAGCACAACAGTTCATTGGGATAAATCCTCTCCTCCCCCTGTCCATTTTACGCTCGGTAGTTTGTTTAGCCTGTAAATTAGATTTCTTTAAAATGCCAGTAAGAACTAGCATATGCGGTAACATGTCTACCCATAAAAATGTGTCCTGCAAGTTTAATGAACCTACCAAACTCAGAACTCTAATATTATAAATTGCAAAAACCACCACCAAAATTATTACAAAAGCTTACACACATGCTTTAAAGATGACACTGCTGTTTAGCGGCGTAGGAACAGGGTTACGTCATAGTTTGTTGCTCTTTCTATCAACAGCTGCACAGGAACTACCGTGACTACCATATTTCTTCAAATATAAATAGACCCTTGTTTTCTTCTCTCTTTTTCTGCTGTTTTTCTTTTATATTAGAATAATTCACAATTAGGACAAAGTTTGACCTGTAATAATCCTGAGCATAATTTACGTGCATATCACACTAAGCCAGACGCTCACCCAGGTCAGTAGCTGCTCCTAGCACTCTGGTACAATGGACGCAATGCTGGCGAGGGGAGAAGGAAACCCCCTCCCTTCCAGAGCGTTGCGTCTGCTTCGTCCTCTCCCACCTTCCTTTCCCTCGCCCTACCATAGAATACCGCGCATCCGCCCATTTCACATTAAGCGCCCATATCCAAATTTCTGAGATATGAAAAAATGTGCACAGTACATTTATATGTAAAATTGATGATCGGAAAAGGGCCCATCCCCCAATTTTCCGCGATTATCTCTAAATTTTGAGTGGGCGCTTGCCCGGTATTTTACGGTACCTTCTTAACCTGCAACATACTACAGTTATAACAGACCTTGATAGTGACTAAGATTTCAGTCTGTTGTAAAAGGAGTATGCTGTATGCAGAAACAAAGTTAAACCAATGGTACATATAGGAAAACTAAACAAACTTCAGAAAGCAATATGTTATAAACAAATGTCTGTTGTAACGAGTTTATACTGTATGTGTCAAAAAGCAGTTCAGCTGTATGTACGTAGTGTAGTACAAGGCTGCCAAGACCCTGAGCTTTTTTTTTTTTCTTTCTTTTTAAATCTAGAACTTTCTTTTGTCTTGGGGTGCAGAAGGGGAAGGGGGGCACGCTTACCAGGGAGCCGCAAACTGCACTTGAACCCGCAAAGAGCCGCAGTTTGGCCACCCCTGGTATATTTGGTCGAAGGATTGTGTTTTTGTACAGCACCATGTACACTACTTCTCCAGTACAGTATGCTAAACTTTTCTAGGTACTCGCCTCATCGTTTGTAAAACTGTCATAATATGTTTACGTGCACCTTCAGTTAATGTGTTGCTTGTTTCATTTTTTACTACTACCATATACAAGGTGAAACCAGCAAATGAAGTTTATTTCACCTGTACTATTCTCATAAATAGATCTTATCTTTAACTTAACAGGCCAACATAATCACAATATGCCTTTTAGTGTCAAAACGTGTCAAGCATACGCGAGCTTACCCCTGAATGAGAAAGAGATTGACAAAAGTTGGCTACGTACCACCCCAGCGGAGTCGAAGAACTGCACTTTCTCCTTCCCTCCTCGGTCGTTGTCAATGTAAGCAACGTAAATGTCCTCGACCGTGGGTTGAGCTTCCTAATGGTCACAAAATATCAACCGCTAATTATCGAGGATTCACACAAACTAGGACGAGGAACTCGTCATACTCACTCCTTTGGAGGGATTGTGCCCATATATGAGCTGTTCAATGATTGACGTTTTTCCGGTATTCCTGTGTCCGCATACCATGATCTTGCTCGTCTTTCCAGACGAGACTGACGATTTCAGCATCTGGAGACCAGAGTGTGTGATCGAAATGCTCATGTCAAATGAAACTCTTTTCATGTGAAACTCTTTTCACTGCTATTAGAGGAAGAATTTAACACGGACAGCACTGACTGAGAGTACTGACACAAACGTGTCTCCATAGCCCTGTTAGGCAATATTAAGCAGCAGACTTATACAATGGCAAAACTAGCGTAATGTGTATATGATGAATAAACCACTATGTCACTCACATTAGAAAAATATAAGTTACATAGGGCGAAGGTTCCTGCGCCGTAAACTGGCCGAAAACTAAAGCAACACCTGTTTAGGAAAGGTGAACTGTTACAGTTACACGGCTTCACAATTTAGCACAGAGCAGCGGCAAGCCGATTCTCCTTTAAACTTGACATGGTGGGACTTTTAGACATCCTATTTTCCTGTGACGAGCACAATTTACCAGGCGGACCACCAAATCAGGATTTCTCACACGACCAATAATCCAAAACAAAATCACGGCTTGACTTGGATTGGATTGGATCGGATTGCATTTTAGAAACATTTACGTTGAAAAGTAATGTCTGGGGCGGCCGCATTTTCGCAGCCTTTATTTATTTTAACGGATAAATTGTGAAAAATGCGTGAACATAAGTTACGTCCACTACTTTTGTAACGTTGGCTAGAGGTGTGCGGCGGTCGCTTTTCGACCGGCGGCGGTGCGGCGGTTGTTTTTGTCGGCGGCGGCGGCTACGGCAGCGGTGTGCGGCGTGTGCTGTCACTACAGCGCGAAATTCAAAATGGGAGGGGACTTTGCGGCAAAGACGTCGAGATTAAAACTTCACGCGCTTTCATTAGAAGGTTAAGACTATGTGGGAAGTAAAGAAACTAGAAACTTATATGGCCATGATATTAACTTTTTGCGGAACTGAACCCGAACCCGAACCGTTATATTGTTATCGCGATAAACCCGAACCGGAACTGAACCGGAAAAAAATAACGGTTACCGGCTCATGTCAAAACGGTTCGGCCACGCGCTGTTGACAATGAATGTGCTATCAATGCCATTTGTTTTTTAAGTGCCGTCAACTGACACACACCTCGCTCACATATTTTTCTTCTCCACTCAGTCTTAGGAATATAAACGCTGCATCCATGAATCTTGACATAGGAAGCAGTATTGCGCTGGTCGCGGCTTGCACGGAAGAAAGAAAATTGGAAGGCTGTGCAAAAAAAAAAAAAAAAATCGCGTCACGGGATTTCATTTTTCTACAATCTCGTAAATCCTAAATGCTGCTGTGTGCTCATTTCATAACACGTTTCTAGAACGCGCGAGTTCTTGAAGTTAGCTTCCATCGGAATGAGAAAAGAAAAGGCTGTGGAGTTTGATAATAATGCATCCGGTTTCGTATAGGCACTTAGAAGCTAACATATTTGTGAGTCAGCGAACTCTTCTATTTTAATATTTATCCTATTACGTCCTTCTGGAGTTGCGTTCGGTGAAGTGTTTTTCATATTCCGTATCTTGTTTAATGAAAACTTCTTTAAGGGTCTAATTTGAGTTACCGAAGGCTAGTTCAAATAAAGAAAGCTGTATTTTCTCCCCACTGTTCCTTCAATTGCTTACACGCCGAGGTGGCGGGATAGTTAGCGAGTCCTACTTGTAAGTGGGTTTGTAAGGAGGTCGCGGATTTTACAGCTACTGCGTCAGACCCAATTAGATGAAGTCCGAATGCGTAAACGTCGGTGAGGTAACCTTTGAGTGCACATAAAGAAACCATTCCTGGTAGAAATCCCTGAGCCTTACACTACGATGTATCCCGTTTCGTATGTGCTGATTTCAGATGTTTTATTTGTAATTTATTTTCATGTTGCAATTTGTCATTTATAATTTCCGAACCGGTTCGCGAACCGGTTCAGCGCCCCGAACCGGTTCGCGAACCGGTTCGCGGATCGAAATAATCGAACCGGAACTGAACCGGAACAAAATTAATTTACCTGAACCTGAACCGTAACCGAACCCGTATTTTTTTCGGTTCGACACACTGATATATATATATATATATATATATATATATAGATATATATAGATATATAGATATATATATAGATATATAGATATATATATTGTTACGAAGACGACGACGACGGGCACTGTCGCGAAAGACGAAAAGGAGACCGCGCAGTTGTTGTGTTGCACGAGCTGGGGGGTTTTCTTCAGGCATATTTGTAGTAGCCATCGCTGTTGTTCTTCAACAGACCACCCTCAAATATATATATCATATTCACCCTCACAAGTGGTAGACTTCTCAATGAAGTCCTGCAGCTCGCAAGTACAGTTCATCATGTAACAACTGCTTACCACCCGCAGGCGAATGGGCTCACCGAGCGACTGAACCATACACTAGCAAGCATGATGTCAATGTATGTTGAAGAAAACCACACCAACTGGGACGCAATCCTTCCTTTTGTTACTTACGCGTACAATACCGCCCGACAAACAACGACAGGATTTTCGCCGTATTATCTTTTATACGCTCGTGATCCACTCACGGCTCTTGACACTGTTTTGCCATACGTGGAAAATTGTTCGGATCCCTACACATCTGACGTCCTGTCCCGAGCCCAAGATGCCCGCCAACTTGCCCGACTGCAAACTCTGCAGTCCCAACAACAACAACAACACCTTCGCCATGCGGACACTCACATACCACTCTCTTATAATGTTGGTGATCTCGTCTTACTCAAGACACCATTTCGCCAAACCGGCAAATGCGAAAAGCTCCTAAAAAAATTCCTTGGGCCGTATCGCATTGTTCGTTGCCTTTCCGATATCAATTACGAGATAGTAGAGAGTTTTAGTAGATCGTTCCGATACCTCCGATAGCCCCGATAACGATACTATGCATGCACAAGGGAGGCGGTGGCGGAGTATCGGGTATCGTTATCGGAGTCATGGGAACGATCTACTAAAACTCTCTAGTGCCCGTGACCCAGCCCCGCGACCATCGCTCGAGGTGCCAGGACATCGTTCACGTGGATCGAATAAAACCGTACTTCTGAAAACCTAACCAACACCCCAGTGCCGGATGACCGGCCCTACCACCACGGGGGGGAGGGGGGGGGGGGATGTTACGAAGACGACGACGACGGACACTGTCGCGAAAGACGAAAAGGAGCCCGCGCAGTTGTGTTGCACGAGCTGGGGGTTTTTCTTCAGGCATATTTGTAGTAGCCATTGCTGTTGTTCTTCAACAGATCACCCTCAAATATATACGTATCTCATATTCACCCTCACAATATATATATGAGGAAGAGCGGTCACCGCTCGGAAACGTCGTAATAAACTTCGAATTAGTAACTCCGACAGTACGCATCTTTGACTTATTAACTTTTCCCGGTCCATTGTTTTTATATTTACCTTACTTCACCCTATATATATATATATAGATATATATATAAAGTTAAAATCATGGCCATATATATATATTTTTTTTAATATTTGGCATAGTGACAATGTTAGGCTCATTGGAGTAAACTTTTGGAAAGTGGGACGCACGAGCTTCAGAAATTCTAACTACGCCTGCCATGACCTCGCAAGAAAGAACAAAAAATGGGCAGTTACAAGAAAGGGATCCCCTTTATCTCAGTTGTGTTATTTCGCTTCGCATCATACCGGACACTAATCTTTCTGTACAATCATAGCCTCCTCTATACGGAGAAAGCCTGGCACATCGACGACGGAGCCATAGGGCGCGCAGCCGCACGAAAAAGGAGAGGAGGAGCGCTCCGAACGGTGACCAATATGGTAGCGCAGAGCAGAAAGGGCAGACCTAGACAGCGAGCGCTTGGGTCATGAGCGGCCGCTCCCCGAACCACGCTTGTTTTTGTGTGTTCGTCACCGTCGTCTTCGTACTCCGGGAGAAACGGGCGCGGCGATCCGAAAGGGCGCAGGGAGAAACGGGAAAGGGTGGACGTTGAGTTTCTCCTCTCCACGATAGCGACAAGAAAAGAGAGAAGAAAAAAAAAAAAAGATTGTTTTTGCGTTTGGCCGCTCGCTCTTTTGTGGCGCTAGCAGTGAAGGTTCTCTCCGCTCCCGTTTCTCCGCCCCTCCTTTCCCATTTACGGCTGCCGTCTTTTCACGCGACGCGCCAGGCTTTCTCCGTATAGAGGAGGCTATGGTACAATATAGGATATTAACATGAAACAGGATAGCAACGCTTCATATTTTGTAAAATGACCGGTTTATCTACATTACCTAAGGGAGTGTTCATTTCGTCCTGAAGATTCTATTTTATTTGAAGAAATATGCCGGGTGTTTGGGAGAAAAGAAAAACAGCGTTTGTTTCAACTAAAAAAGAAAAAAAAAAAGAAGGGGGAGCTACAATGGCCGGACGCCAGGGCTGCCACCACGGAAAGTCAAAATCTCCCTATTTCTGCCGAAATTTCCCTCGCTTGTCCAAATAATTGTATAATACTTCGTACGTACTAAAAATATTCATTGTTTTCTGCATCATCCAGTCAGTACTGAACAAAATACTCGATAAAAGTATTTAAGTTACTAAATACCTGCTTCGTAAAGTATTTAATATACTACTCAAGTTACTTTCACTATCAAATATATTGAGTAGAGTACAAATACTGAGAAAAGTAATTAAATTACTTTTGAAGATACTTCCGCATTGCGTAATCTATATCGACGTCAGTAACAACGGCGATTATACAGCTGCGCAAATCTGGTTTACCACAATGGTTTATTAGCACGCAACAACACAAAAAGAAAAAAAAAGTATCGTAGGGCTATTTTATGCAGTCCAACCATGGGAGCAGGATACTGTCGCGAATGACAAATGATGAGGCGGCAAATAACTGAAGAAACTATTCACCCCTTAGTAAAGTAGCATCAGGAGTTCCCTAGGGAGCAGGACTCTCCCCACTACTATTCTTAATATACATAAACGACCTTCCTCATGACATTCTTTCGAAAATTAGGCAATTCGCCGATGACTGCGTGATATATCGCCTACTCACAAATGATTCAGGTCATCTCATATTGCAGGACAATCTAACACAAATTAATACCTGGTGTGAACAATGGCTTATGCCTCTCAACCTGGGCAAGTGTAAAGTAGTTTCGTTTACCCGGAGAAAGTTTAAAGATACGTATTTATATTCACTCGGCGACATCCCAATTAATACATCATCTTCTTACAATTACTTAGGAGTAAATTTAACCTCATCGCTTTCTTGGGTACTACATGTTGATAACATTATAGCTGAGGCATCCCGCACACTTGGATACCTGAAACGTAATTAAAAGTCTGCGCACAGTCACCTTAAGAAACTTGCATACAGAACATTTGTTTGACCAAATGGTGCGAACTTGTGCCCAAAACAAAATAGAGAAAGGCTAGCGTCGCAGGCGTCGATGACGGCGAAACAGCAGGATCGAGCGCTGGGGCGAGAATGACTCCGGACCGCCACTCGGAGCACCTTTTGTACCCGCGTGTTTTTCT